AAACATTCAGCTTTGATATTAATGAGTTTTTTGGGTTCATTGAGAACATGGTTGTTGTTCAATAATAACATTATTCCTCAAAAATACAACTTGTCTAATAATTCTGCACTCCCTGTAAACTAAAGTGAAAATATGATAAAAGGTGAAGCCACACACCAAAAAATGTGAAACATATGACTTGCCCACTGAAATAAATGCTTTTCATTTCCTTTTCAAATCTACACCAAGCCTCTGAATTTGTATTATTATTTGAGACTTTTTTTTTATCATAATCTTTCTATTTTCCTTTTTTATTCTCACTTTTGAAGCAACTTTGCTTTTCTAACAATAATGATGGTAAAAAAAAAACAAAACATGGTTCTCATAAATATACCATGTAAAGTTATGGGCATCGGGCAAGATTTCTTCACATGAAAGTTTTTTAAATATTTTCCACACCACTTTAAACACAGCCTACAGTGAATAAAGAGTATCAAACCATCATGTTTTGTTACACCGCACTTCTTTTTTTAACTGGCATTTAACAAATTTAAGAGACTTATTCATATCTTTAATGACCTCTGTTATACATGAAATATGTGGGCTATACCCTCACAAGATACTTTATTACACCTTCCTTGTACCTTGGACCCAATTTTGCCTTTAGAGGTGCCTCAATTCTTCATGGCATAGATTCAACAAGGTGCTGAAAACATTACTCAGTGATATTGGTCCATATTCAAATAAAGGCATCACACCGATTTTTAACCTACATGTCCATGATGTGAATGTGTAATTCCACCATATCCCAAAGGTGCTCTGATCTGGTGACTGTGGAGGCCTTGTAATGGGTAGTTATGTGAGTTCCTGTTGGCTAAATTCATTCTCTTTAAACTCCGGAAATGGCTGTAAACTGATCAGCAGTCTATAAAATACTCAGGCCAGCATGTCTGGAATCAGCAGCCATGCCACAGTCATCATCCATCCATTCTCTCACACTTATCCAATTCAGGGTCGCAGAAGGGCTGGAACCTCATCTCAGCTGGCATAGGGCGAGAAGCAGGGTACACCGTGTACAGACTGCCAGAAACCAGAGTACTCCATGAGAACCCACGCAGATACGGAGAGAACATATAAACTCCACACAGAAAGGCCCCAGCCAAACTCAGAACCTTCTTGGTGTGAGTCCCTTAAATCAGCTTTCTTCCACATTCTGATGCTCGGTTTGAATTACACCAGGCCAGCCTGACTGTGCTGCCATGTCTACCTGCCTAAGTGTGTTAAGTTGGCATCACGTGATTGGCTGATTAGGTATGAACAGAGGTACCTAACTGAATGGGCATTGAGTGTATAGGCCTATATATCAGTGTTTTCTGAGAAATGACACATGTAGAAGATACACGGCAGACCCGACCACATACTCGTTTTTACACTCAGCTGCAGCTTTTCAGCTGTCAGCCACACACACCAAGAACAACCTCA